GGTCTAAGTTACCCCATTTGGGGGCAGCGCCCCCCATTTGCAAACTATGACACTTTCCTAAAATTTGTCATTTGCATATGTAACTAGAAGAGTTCTACTACAATGCATCAAAACCTGGAGTTATTTTACCAAAAAATAAAAAAAATTGGAGGGGGTACTCTGACAGGCTTTAAATAATAACTTTTTTTCGTGGGTCACATTTTTAATTTTTTAACCTATTAGATATGTAAATTTTTTAAATCTTTCTATTGTGTTATGTAGCCTCAGTATTAGGCCTTTAATGCCCATCAACAAAAATTTTCTATGTCAAATAGTTTTTGAGTTGTGGGGGTTTTTGTTAAAAAAATGAAAAGTGGTCTAAGTTACCCCGCTGGTCTAAGTTACCCCATTTTACGGTACCAATATATTTTGTTTACAGTTAACTGTTTCAGCACTAGAAATTCAAGATGGCTGGGACAGATTTATGGCCGGACTCGTGGCTGGTCTCACGGCCAATCTCCAAATTTAGTGACCAAAGAATATCTCCCAACCCTATGAACACAGCTTGATAAAACCTGGAACATGTATTCATTAGGACCTAACAGTGATCTTTAGCTCAAGAAAAATGTTTAAATTTCACTTTCATTTGTAGTTATATGGTGATAAGGGCCGAAATTTGCAGTGATCAAAGAATTTCTTTCAAACTACTGAACAGATTTGAACAAAATTTTGGGAATATAAATTCCTAACTACCAAATGGTGATTTTTAGCTCGTGAAAATTTATTTGATTTGGAGTCATTGTTGCCGGCGCTATGGAATGCTTATGTCGGGTTCTTTAGTCTCTGGCAACAATTTGGGTGAATGAAAATTTTCTTCTGGATATGGATGTATTGTTAAAGTATGGGCAGTGATTACAGATGCAGTTGTAAATGGAATGAAATGTAACCAGACATTGGGAGCATTAGTTAGGTATTTGAGCTGCAAAAGATAAAACATATAATCAATAAAAGTAAAATCAAATATAAGAACCTCACTCACAGCAGTTAATCAAAACCAAAAACCCTTAGCATTGACATAACAATCAAGCAGCAAGCGGTAGTTTCAGCTCAGAATATAATTGATAAGATCAACACACGAGAGTAATTCAAGAGATTAAAGTAAACCAAGGTAAAAGAACACTATTGCAACTGTGGTAATAACTGCAACTTATTGGGTGAAACACATACGTAAATTGAAAGCAGTTTGGTATTCACATAATAAAATAGCAAGCATTGAAATTAGAAGATTGAAATAGTAAAGCAATTGAAGTAAAATCATATAAACAACTCACTATTGTGCAATTAACATTCTTTAGATTAAAAGCAAGCATTGTCAGAAGTGGATAAATGTATGTGCAAAGTATAAACATGAGCAAGAATGAGGTAAATCAATTATTAAGCTGAATGAACACTAACATACCTGGTTTTAAAAGCTTTATTCAATATGGATTCTAACAAGCACTCACCAAGGTCGTCAGAGCATTGGACATCAATCTGCCTGCTTCTATTAGAACTTTACAATGTCACTGATCAAGCACATGCATGAATAATATAATCATTGGAATTTTCCCCATGCCTGAAAAAATAGTGAAATGTTTGGTATTGAATTAGAACATATACATTGAATGAACAAATGAATAACAGATTTGGTTTGCGATTAAAAATACTGAAATAACCACCCGGCTACATCATGTTATACACATGTTATGTACAAATTATAAAAAAAAAACATACAAACTTCTGACTTCGACTTCGTGGACTACTGCCTCCCAACTGCTCCTTTCTTCCCCCCAGATCTTTCCACTGCCCACAGGGGGGGCAATATTGCCCACTTTGTGAACCACTTCTGCAAAGCGTGGCACAACATAGGTCATAGGTTGAGGGCGCTGATTCCATGCACCAAAGACGCCGAGGTGGATGACACTGGACGTCGGTTGCCAATTATGCTTCTCCATAAATCCCGATTTACAATCAATATGGCCAATGCGCCATATTGATCTACACAGTACGATCATAACTACGCATCGTAGTGCGTAGTAATGACTGTGAAAGCTACATTTGAGCACCAAAGCATACATGCTCAGAGCTACCTAAACTACTCAATGCAGCGTTCAGTTCCAATGGTTCTGAGTGTGTTTATTTTGGTGCTTATGTTGAGAGAGCCTTATGGCACTGATGATGGATGACAAGGCAGCTTGTGATAAATCATTTTAAATAAACAGGCTACATCATCAGTCTAGCCACCTGAACTACGTGCCATAGTGCATACCAAATCCCAACTCATGTCACCAACCCCAACCCACCCAAACCAAGCCAACCCAATTCATCCCAACCAAATTTAACCCAACCTAACTGAACCAAACCAAACCTAACTGAACCCAACCCAATGCAACCAAACCCAACCCAATGCAACCAAACCCTTCCCAATGCAACCCAAACCAATTCAACCACACCCAACTCAATTGAACCCAGCCAAATTCAACCATACCCAACTCAATTCAACCCAACCAAATTCAACCATCCCACTCAATTCAATCTAATATAATTAATTTCAATTCAACCCAAATCAAATCAATCAAGCCAACCTAATTCAGTAAAATTGAATAGACTGAATTAGAACACATTAGAATGCATCAAGTTTTTATTTGATTGCACTAGATTTCATTACAGTGCTTTGGAATGCACTAGAATGCATTAAAATGAATTAGGGTACATCAGATTGCATTAGGTTACATAAGATTGCTTAAGTTTACATTATATTGCACTAGGTTAAATTAATTACCTTAGGTTACATTACGCAATAGATCGTGTTCCATCATTTTAGAACACAATAGATTGCGTTAGAACGTAATAGATTGCGTTACGTCATTTTAGAACACAATAGATTGCGTTACATCATTTTAGAATGCAATAGATTGCGTCAGAATGTAATAGATTGCGTAAGAAAGCAATAGATTGGGTTAAAGTGCAATAGATTGGGTTAGAATGCAATAGAAACTGCATAAACAAAAGGAAAGAAAAATCTCACCACTCACTTGACTGGTTTGCTTTTTCCAGAAAGAAAGAGCCCGAGGCCGAAAGAAAGAGCCCGAGATTCAATAAATTGATTCAATTTAAAGAATCAATTCAACTGATTTATTGTGTATGAATTTTATTGCTAATTACCTTCATAAACAAAAGGAAAGAAAAATCTCACCGCCCACTTGACTGGTTTGCTTTTTGCAGAAAGAAAGAGCCCGAGATTCAATAAATTGATTCAATTTATAGAATCAATTCAACTGATTTATTGTGTATGAATTAAATTGAATTTTATTGCTAATTACCTGCATAAACAAAAGAAAATAAAAATCTCACCGCTCACTTGACTCATTTGCTTTTGCAGAAAGAAAGAGCCCGAGGCCAGAAGCAGGTGCTGGAGGAGAATGTCTCGACGTTGTCATTCTACCGCGTCATGACCGCGGCTGTTGCCTTGGCTTATGGCTTCTCATACTGGATGCTCTTCAACAACATTGCCTTGACTGATTATGTGAGAAAGCATAATAATACTTTTCTCCTCTATGACATTGTTGAGCATTGGCAAAAATTCTTTGAGTTGTATTTAATCTTTACTTTTGTTTTATCTTTATATTTCTTATTCATAATACTCCTCAAAAGACTGAAAAGGACATTTGTAAACATTTGCTGTTCATGCAGAATAATGTTTGAAGTGTTGACATGTACTGTCAACCACTGTGTGCAGTTGCTCTTTTACGTCTCAGTGTTTTGACACCTAAAAGATTTTGTTTGTGTGTGTGGTGCCTGAAAGTGCTGTTTAATATGCTTTGTGCTCATTAGTGCAGCTCCTTATTAGTTAGCTTGTTAATTTGTTGCTGGATAATTTTGAGTCTTTCAAGCACATCAGCTATCGTTGCATTGCACATTGTTTTTGAGTGCAATGCATGTTTCAGCACTATGGTAATTTTGATACAATCAACATAAGATGAGGTGTGTATGCCATCTAGTAGAGCTGGTATATTGGGCTTGCAAGATAAAAAATGTTGGTGATAGGATGAATCAATGAAGGACGTTCCTTTTGGAATGTTCATTCTTTTGTTATGCAAAGCTTTTATGCTATATAAAAGAATATGATACTGTGAGGTATTTGATCAGCAATGCTGTGGTCTTTTAAAACATTTTTTATTATTGTTGTGATACGTTAAGTTAAGATCAGTTTAGGTCATGTCTGCTGTAATCATCAGTGTACAGAGGGCTGGGTGCATACGAAAGAGTTACTTGTGTGTTGAACATAGTTTTGTTTTCCTGCTCCTTGCTAATAGGATGCAAATTATGTTAGTCCTATAGCTAATCATTCTTATGTTACAGGTAATGGTGGTGCTGTGTGGGACTCTGCTGCTTCTATCAAATTTCTTCCTATCCTCTATGGCTCAAGTGAAGAGGTCCCCCACTGGGGAAGTGCTTGATCCTGGCTGTGATCTCAATATCCCGGGTGGCATAGCAGAGTAAGCGCATTCCTGAGAAACTTGTACGAGCTTGGTTATAGGCTTAATAACTTCATATCTTGCCTAAGACTTGGCCAATTCACCAAAATATGTGCTTCAAAAAATTTGAACAAATTTACACTGATACTATCACCAGATAATTGATAGAAAATTATCTTTGTGCATAAAATTTAGAAAGCAGTGCAGCTTTAGCCGTACTTTGCCAATAGTTGTTCCAACAGCCGCCTGATCTGTTGAAGCTGTGAGGAAGGCCCATAGGAAAACCTGCAAAAACGCTGAACAGAAACAGATTATTTTCCCTAGACAAAGAGGACGAGAATGCAGCTTCCATAACAGCTAGTGCGCTATTGAAGCCGATGACAAACTTTATTCCACTAGACACCCACAGCAATTGCTTTAGCAAGTGTGAAGTTTAGACTTTGTATCCCTGCTGACTGTGCCACGTTTGAACGCACATAATAATGCACTATTTTCAAATATGTATTTGAATTATTGAATCTTGATACCATGATAATTTGTGACAGAGAATAAACACGCACATGTAAACATCCACTTAACGAAGAATCCCTGCTGACTGTGCCATGTTTCTCATGCATTTCTGCTAGCACCTGCAAGCTGCGCCCAACTGTCGAGTCACTGTGGCATGTATGCAAAATTTGCTATTTTGCATAAATGTAGATGTGTAATGTTCATACTAATTAATTATTATTTAAAAGGCGTCCTAACATTTACGTTTAATAGTTCGTTGAGTTACAAGTGGACTTTGACCAGTGGCTCCTAATATGAGCCCTCAAAGTGGCCTGTTCAGTTTACAAAACATTTTTTTCGTGTGCTTTATATTGAATTGGTTCCGAATTCTGGTGTAGTTAGTATGCATTGATCAGACAAGAAACAGTTTAGAAGTATATACTAAGATTTTCTAACGTATAGGGAGTATATATACCTACACTGTTGACGTTTATCACAGTACCTTCTGTGTTAGCTCACTTCTCGTTAATTTTATGTATATGTTGTTTCTGTAATTAACATTTTCACGCAATAAGTCCATAGAGACCATTGAGTGGGCGGTGTACACTGCTCACCCATAATCAATTCATCCCAGCAAAAATATTATTGCCTAGCGATTGCGTTGTGTGGTGAAGAAACTATCTATATTCATACCTAAGCCAACAATTCTTGTCCGGTATTTTTCAAGCTATACCACAAATTTATGCTCAATGAACACACCCTCGTCGTCTAAATTAAAGTTTTTGTGAAATTTGTCAAATTTGGATAACAAATTTTCTGACTCTAATTCTGAGTTATCAAATTTACTAAATTAGAGAGCTTAATATTCTGCTTATAACCCAAAAATTTGAACATTTACTTAATTAAGTAATATTTAAGCAATTTGGAAGCAAAATATTGAACACAATTTAACTACAAATTCATAGAATTTATATTTCTGATAGATTTATAAAATTACAGCCTTTCTCTAATTGCTAATCGTTTTGTGAATTTTCATTGAAGTTGCTTGACTTCTGAGCAGGCACGTAAAGGACGCCATCATCCTGACGTCGACCACGACCATCTTAGCTTGCATTCCTGGTCCAAGAATGCCAGCCAAGTTATGAAATGAAGTTTCACAGTCGGGTCTTTCAATCCAACACATCGTTTGCATGCATTCTTATTTTGCCACTCTATATTCCGCTCTGGTTAGCTAAATTTCAACTCTTTGTGTAGAGACACAATAACGCGTCAATTCTAGCCGTACCTCAAAGCCTATTTACTGTCAATAGAGCAAGGATGAAGAGAATGAAACACTATCATCTTTCGTATACTTATGATCGAAGTTATTAATATTCAGAGTACGATATTGCCAGCTAGGTGTTATGGTTCACTTGTTCGTATAGCAAAATAAATGGCAGTCAATTCAAAATTAAACCTATCTCATTTCGTAATCTCTCTCACATAGTGACTGTACATGTATTTTTATCGTACATCTACCATCACTTCCACTATTTTCACTGACTTTGCTTGTGACAACTCCGATGTGTCTCTAAAATGGTGAGACTCAGTCTCGCGATGATGTCTTTAATTAGCACGTTGACTACGATTGCTTCATCTTGTACTATTATTTCATTTTTTGTACTTTTTTTAAACGGTTGCCAGACGGTCATTTTTTCCGGACAAATTCCGTGATATAGTTTTCTCAATTGCGTTGGCCGGCTAAAATTTATGATAGGGGTACTTCCTAATTAAATTTTAAATACTGCAAAAAGAAAATAAATGGAATTTTTATAGCGGAACCTACAAACAAACTAGTATATTTTGAGTTATCGGCCTTTTTTGTTCTCGGATTTGGCCGATTTTAGGCAACCTGAATTATGTACCACTACCTCCTGGAGAAATACATTTCGTGGTACGCATTTGTACCAATACGTAGTCAACGTGTTAATCCAACCTCGCCTCGCAGGCCCCGCTGCGCGCAGGCCTGTTGCTTTGGACGAGCGTCATCGCTCCTTGGATCTTCTCGGGCAGCGAAAATGACGGCGGCGACGCACAAGCTCTCGACGAGAGAGCCCTCAAGAAGCAGAAAAAACTCGAAAGGAGACAAAGAAGAGGCTATTAAAATTTGCAGCTTCTAGTGCCATACAATGACGGCAATTGACGTTTCATTAAATCCTTCCTCGATTAGATAATGCGCCAGTAATTTGTACTGCTTAGCTTAACCGTCCAACTCAGCTTAAACGAACTGCCTTGTTTCCCTGAAAACGCGCGTCATTCAGCTGTTCCGACGTTAAGTCTTGTGTGTAATTAAAGACAACGCTCGTCGTGATGAAACACGTTGAAACAAACACATTTTCTTAGCGTTTACTTAAATCGTTTGATATCAACATATCGACATGGAAATAAACAATTTATGAGTACTGACATGCGCAAATACAACTTCTACATGCTAGCTCTGACTACCTCAAGGGTTAGACCTACTGTAATCAGATACGTGTCAACAACTCACGTCTGCACCAAATGGCAATGAACATTGTCTCCTACAGTCGAGATAGTAAGTAGAACAAGTGCCCTCGCGACAACACAGAAGTACAGGAAGCATTTTAGACGTACATACAAAGACATTGGATAAATAGTGCATTCAAATAAATAATCTAATAAAATCACACGAAAGCGCGCGAAAACGTCAACAATCTATGCAGAAAATTAGCTAAATAATGAACCGAACGGCCAGTCCATCGGGCGTTCCTCAAACGTAACATTCCTAAATCTCAACGATAGTCAAAGCCGAGTCTTGTATGACATTCATCCAGCGTACTCGAGCCATTACAAGTGTTAGAAGATAAATGAAACCAAGAACAAGCGCTATAAATTTGGGAAAATTTAATAACAATAAGATACGGAAGTAATAAACAGTAACTATCAACGATTAGAGGATACGAACTAAAATGTTTTTATCTATATTCTGAGATGTGTAGCCGGGTGCTACGTAGAAAATAAAATGGCGAGTCTCGAAATTTCATTCCATTCGCTCCTCTAGCTTCGCCAGCCCACAACGCCTGTATAGTTCTGCCTTGTCTCAGCAACGGGTCAGATTTGTGAAGAGCGCAGTCAGGGATGAGATCAAAATATACATACAACTTTTTGTTGTTTAGAACACAGTGTCCACATTTGTTTCGTTCGTCAATTTGTCAGTTAATACACAGACCTGCCAGCAAGCACAACCTTCACGGTGGCAGCGAACATCTTATGTTACGCACACAGAACATCTCTCATGGAAGTTCCAAAGCACGGAAATCTTAAACTCAAATTTTGATACAATTACTCGCACTGAAGTATATCTTCACAACTGCGTCAGCACTTAACTAGAGGTCCTAGGCGAGATACCCTAGGAGGCGAGTCCTGGAAACAAATACCATGAGGCCGTCATGTTGTCCTCTCCTCACGCCGAACTCAGTGACTCGTAGGTCTCGTTGCACGGGATTTATATCACGTGTAAAATTAGATATAAAGCAACGACGTAAAGGAAATACTGTCCAAGACCAGCAGGCAGGAGACTCTCCTGAGGGTCAGGAAATTGGCAGAAGACGTGACACTTATGCCCGACCCTCACGCTAATGCCCGGCCATGGCGCTTATATTCGAGCGCAAATACCAAATAACGAGAGGAAATAGTTGAGTTGACTGCTGAATAATGCACACAAACTTCAATAACCTTAACTATCCACTTCATGGCAGGACTGCCATGCTACATGTCGAAGATTTGCGAGTAGGTTAAGTGGCTGCATCAACTTAATAACTCGACTGCTATTGGATTGTAGAAAAAACATAAAGCGACAAGAACTGTCTTGTAGTAGTCAGGAACTGTCTCTTGCAGCGGCGTCAGGAACTGTCTCTTGCAGCGGCGTCAGGAACTGTCTCTTGCAGACTGTCTCTTGCAGCGGCGTCAACAACTGTCTCTTGCAGCGGCGTCAGGAACTGTCTCTTGCAGCGGCGTCAGGAACTGTCTCTTGCAGCGGCGTCGTCAGGAACTGTCTCTTGCAGCGGCGTCACCAACTGTCTCTATAATAAGCATTTGTAACGAACATCTAAACACACTAACACTTGCTGGACTACCAGCAATCAAAGAACATCTAAATGTTTAACGCTACAGCACTGCACCAGCCCATAATATTATCTGTATAATATACTTGTAACTACGGTACACACACCAACACCGTTAACACATCTGGCATAGAACACGCATTTATATATGTATATGCCCACTATATGTCACGGCATCAACCTAATTCCTAGTTCCATGCCACGATCGTGTCCAATTCAGTGATATCAGAAGCCAGAATTTCAGGAGAAACAAGGGATGATGTGAAAATAGAGATATCTACGTCAGATCGAGATTTATTCTATCCACACGACTTTTTAACATGTGATAACAATGGACATGGCAAACAATTGATCGTATTGTTTCCTGAATTCAACCAGAGATAAAACAAACGCAATTCGAATGCAGCCAGCGAGCAAACAAACGTTTGCCTTCAATGCTAATAGCCATGGCAAACCAAGAACCATGCTAGTCAACAGGGACGTTTAGCAAACGTTCCATGCAGAGGTAGAGAACTTGTAAGTGTACGTAGTTTCCCTCTAAGCTTAAGAGTGATTAGTTCAGTGCGAGAGTGAGAATTAGTCATTAAAAGAGGATTTGTTCTTTACGAGGAGGGTGGCGGGGTTATTCAGAGACGATAAGCATGACCGTCGCGTCTTGAAGGCAGAATTGACATCTGATCTTTAACTCATTTAACTCTTCTCGTTCGACTCATGGAACCGAATATATTAAGAGCTGGAAACTCAAGTGGTGCTTTAAGGAGCTGATAAAGTCGTATACAACCCTAAAGAGTTGCCCTAAGATTTCTGAGTCACTGACACAACCTGAGGAAGCAGTGAAGGATCGATGAAACAAATTAAGGAATGGCAAGAAGAAACGAAACATTATTGAAAGAAAATTGATTGTGTAAGGTTCTGAAGGGATGAGGGCACGGGTAAGCTGCTAATAGGTCGACAAATATACCAGAAATACGGCCAAAATTTAGACTTACTGCGTACAGAAAATCTTGACACGAGGACGCAATTGCCGTTTGTTCAAGGTAAAAGTGGTTTCAAATTCCAAGTGCACAGTAAAATGATTCGCGTACAGTAAGTCTCACAGCCAATAAATACCCCTTCATCAGGGTTGAAATTTGATCTGCCAATTATACCACAGAATTTAGCATGCGGAATCATGTTTAAACGTGGGATTTAGAGCGAAAAACTATTAGAGATAAAGGTAACAGAGGAGCATCCACAGGGTAATCAGCAGAGGTACACAGAAGGGGAAGCCTCTGGACAATGAGAAGAGGTTCACAGTTAATATTTCGGTTAATATTTCCAATAAAGTTTTGGAGGCTGGAATGTGAGTACATGCGTCCACCACGCAAAGTCAGTAACAAAAAAATCAACAGTACAGGACAACATGAAGGAGAGACAACAAAGACCGAGACAAACTCGAAGAAAGTAGAGGCAGTAACAGATGGCGCAGTAATTGTGTTGGAATTAAATGCAACGAGTAAATCTGCCTCAAGACAAAACAAGGCTCATATAGAGAACATATAGAGAACAACCATCCACTGCACACTGCAAGTTTAGTTTCACTGTACCGATGGCACTAAGAAATGTTCAAATAAATGTATGAAGAGCAAGAATAATTAGTCATGCCCAGTCCAGTGAACAAAATGTACCTATGACAAAACTATACTACAGCGACTAACAAGCTGCACGCTGACCGCGACTTTGAATACAACTATGGACTGCAAACTACCTTCTAGTTCGCGCCGTAATGCACGCTGCAGGTGAAATCGGTGATGAGTGCACAGCACGGCATGATATATAGCACAGCACGGCATGATATATAGCACAGCACGGCATGATATATAGCACAGCACGGCATGATATATAGCACAGCATCATACATAGCACTGCAGGGAACTCTAGCTGCACATCAACACGAACACAGATTCTAGGTAGAACACGATGTTGACGTGGTATCGGATGCAGGTTTTGGGTAATACATTAATATGGATGCTTCCAAGGCGCTTTTGACAAGCTTGCTTCATGAAGCGAGATGTTCAAAGCTCGTTGTGCAAGCGTGCTTCATGGCACCACATGTTCAGTGAAAGTCTGCCGTCGAATTTAACAGAAGGAGCGGGAGTGAGCTGCATAAGTTTGCTGCTGGCACTACGTAGGAAGCAAGTTAGTCGGCTAACATAGACATGCGTTTTAAGAAATTTAGAGAGCACTGAAGGGGTCAAAGGCAGCCGCAGGTTGCTGAGGCTGGGAAGTTGGGATGGTTTGGGGCATCATTCCACCCATGGGCATGATAGGAGCTCCTGTAGCAGCAGGAAACTGAGGAGGCATCATAGGCTTGGTGAAGTTTACTTGTGTGGGCTGTGGAGGAGTCCACGTGGCACCCCCAGTCTTGTTGGGAGTCTTGGGTGATGACCACTGCGTCTTGACGGCGGGGCCTTTGATGTTCAGGTTGTCCACTAATGATGACAGGGAGGAATCCAGGTCACCGCTTATGAGCTTAGCGGGAGCGGGAGGAGCCTGGCCGATGAGAGGGGGCACGGCGGTGTTGGTGGACGACAAGCCGCTTTCAGGAGTCAGAATATCCCCCAGGCCACCGAGGACGTTGAGGGGTTGCTGTGGCACCGGCTGGGGAACGAAGGGAGCAGGTGTTGCTGCTATGAGGTCGGCAAAAGGGTTGCCAGCAAGTTGCAGGAGGTCGTCTGAAGCTTTGCTTGATGCAGGAGCTGCAGGAGCCTCTAGCTCAGCTGAGAAGATGTCTATCTGTGCTGATGATTCAATGGGTATGACGGCTGCAGTTTCTTGAGGGGCGGCGTCAGGCGAGCTCAAAAATGGATTGTTCTTCGCAGCCTCTGCTCTGAGTCGGGCATACATGGCTTCCTCCTCAGCAAGAGCTTGCTGCTTCGTCACCTCGTCCAGCGCAAATGTCGTGTCGCTGACCGCGGAAATTGAAGCACCGGAGTCTTCCACTGCGCTCGTGCCGTTGCTGGTGGTTCCCGTGGGAGGTTTCTTGCCCTCCAACGAAGCAAGGTGTCCTTCCAGGGCATCCAAAAGGCTGCTGGGGGCTTGCTTCAGGTCAGGGATCTCGGACTTATCCATGCCGACCGACTCTGCCACCTTCAAGAACTCGGACACACGGTCCATGCGGATCAGGAACTTCTTATAGCAGTCGAGCGCGTCGCGGCACTGGAAGAATACATCGGCTATTACCATGAATAGAAGTCCCGTAACAGATGTTATGAGAATGGCAAAAATCATCTAGACGGCTGTTGATCTTCATTATAAGGAGTGGAAATTTAATTATCAGAATCTTTGAAATAAAGTTGGTATGATTGACATACATTTAAGAGTCGCAGAATTCTATTCTGCCTTTCATTCATCTATGCACGAATGAGATCTTTGGTGCATGTTTGTTATTACATCAAACAATACCTGAAGTGCGCAAAGCTGGTTAGCACTAATTTTGAGAAACTTAAGAATCAAACCACTGAGGCAGGCAGCACCAACGTATTTGTACTCTATGGATCATGAGAATTATTAAGTGAGCTTTGAATTCACTTGCTCAACTGAGGAAAAATGATCGTATCGTGCAACTCACTTGCTTCTTGTTCATCTCAAAGAACTTCTCAAGAAGGTTGATGATGCCGTCATTATAGCAGGCAAAAAGGCGTATGAGGTCCCGAAAGAGAAGCATGAAGGCGGCATTGATGACGCCGTTGTTGAGCTCAGACGCCGTACAGTCAAAGTCAAGGAGCGCATCAAGGTGCTGCTGGAGCACCGGCAGCGTCTTCAGCAGCTGGTCTGTGTTCATCATGCGCACTGAACCCTCAGTCTTCCTGTAACACAACTCAAGGTAAGTTATCTTAAATGCTATAGCTACGCACGGGCAGCTCATTCAACAGTTGGTACCCAATAAAAATTTACAGACGCGTCAGCTTCTGATTTGGGGTACCAGAAGCTGGGGCGACTCTAAATTTTGTTAGGGTAGTACGACTGTACGAGTATATCATGTATTCTTTACGACTAGTTTTCATGCCGCTAACATTCGTGTCACTAAAGATGAGATAATAGTGTATAGTCTCATCATCATTGATACTGTATATACCTACTATAGTATACTATACGAGACTTGTGCCCCATGAGACTATAGGTAGTACTTCTGTAGTAGAGACTCGTGCGTTAACAGATAATGTGACTATCTGCAAGAAAATAAAGGAACAAATTTTTGAGCAAAGAAAATTAATGTTAAAGGTTGTACACATCTGCAGAATTTACCTACATTAAAACAGTAATCGGACTCACCCACGCTTGACTTTACAGAAGTCAAAGGCCACAGTGCGGTAAGACAAGGCCTTCTCGTTGATGTATTTGGCATAGCGTCGTATGAACGTTGACATGTCATAACCTGTAAACGCCAAGAAAACATCTTAGCAAGAGACACGACGCACCTGTTATGGCATAGCGTCGTATGAACGTTGACATGTCATAACCTGTAAACGCCAAGAAAACAACTTAGCAAGAGACACGACGCACCTGTTATGGCATAGCGTCGTATGAACGTTGACATGTCATAACCTGTAAACGCCAAGAAAACATCTTAGCAAGAGACACGACGCACCTGTTATGGCATAGCGTCGTATGAACGTTGACATGTCATAACCTGTAAACGCCAAGAAAACAACTTAGCAAGAGACACGACGCACCTGTTATGGCATAGCGTCGTATGAACGTTGACATGTCATAACCTGTAAACGTCAAGAAAACATCTTAGCAAGAGACACGACGCACCTGTTATGGCATAGCGTCGTATGAACGTTGANTATTGCTTGTATCAGCCATCATCACATATTGCTTGTATCAGCCATCATCACATATTGCTTGTATCAGCCATCATCACCTGTTTACTGCTCTCATCAGCCATCACCACTTACTGAGTTGTGGGTGATCTGAAATAAAGAAATCAATATATTTTAAAGGCATTATTAATAGCTATAAATACCTTATACCTTATATATACCTTAAATACCTTAAATATAATACCTATAAATAAATATAAATACCTATAAATACCTTAAATTCCTCTATTTTCATTATTTCAGGCACAAGTACATAATATAAATGGAGACATCTTGTAAAAGTATTGTGACTTTTACAAGACGATCATATTACATTTACAAGATCAGCCTCACCACATATTGTGACTACTATATACAGTATATAAGTCACCACATATTGTGACTACTACAGTATATAGGAAGTCATGCTAATATTCTGACTGTAACATAAAGATACTGTGTCCATCACTCACCCGATGCTCCAGTCTTGTCCAAAAAATTGGATAAATTAAACGTGCAGTTGCTCGATGCAAGGTATTGTGTGAATCTCTGCAATCAAAGTGAAGTTCAGCATCAATAATCTATATACTTTCTGGCTCAAAAGGCAGCAACATCAAAGGTATATGGTACACAACTTGTTAAAGAGAATCTCTGCAATCAAAATGAAGTTCAGCCAAAATGAAGTTCAGCATCAATAATCTCATATACTTTCTGGCTCAAAAGGCAGCAACATCAAAGGTATACAGTACACAACTTGTTAAAGAGAATCTCTGCAATCAAAATGAAGTTCAGCATCAATAATCTCATATACTTTATGGCTCAAAAGGCAGCAACATCAAAGGTATACAGTACACAACTTGTTAAAGAGAATCTCTGCAATCAAAATGAAGTTCAGCATCAATAATCTCATATACTTTCTGGCTCAAAAGGCAGCAACATCAAAGGTATACAGTACACAACTTGTTAAAGAGAATCTCTGGAATCAAAATGAAGTTCAGCATCAATAATCTCATATACTTTATGGCTCAAAAGGCAGCAACATCAAAGGTATATGGTACACAACTTGTTAAAGAGATACTTGTGTGAAATTCCATTCTGATATTAGCATTGAAAGCTTGTCTGTAATTAGGATCATTTCAAAATAATATCTAAGCAGGTATTATCATCACCCAAAGTATAATATACAAAACCATCAAAGGTGATGGTTTTGTATATTATTTTGTATACCAGGTATATTATTTTGTATTACCAGGTCACCCAAGGTAACTTGTACATAGACTTAAGATCTTAAATTTAACCTTTTTGTTTAAATAAATTTAAGAGAAAAATTAACCCCAAATTTAAAATTTAAAATAAAAAATTTTAAATAATTTTATAATTTAAATTAAATTTAACCCCAATTTAACCCCAAAGAAAAGCTATACCCTAGGTGATGGTCACCCAAGGTAACTTGTACATAGACTTAAGATCTACAATTTAACCTCTTTGTATGCAAACAAATGGTGATGGTCATTGTACATAGACACAAGATCCTAAATCTAACCTCTTTGTATGCAAATAAATGGTGATGGTCATTGTACATAGACTTAAGATCTACAATCTAACCTCTTTGTATGCAAATAAATGGTGATGGTCATTGTACATAGACTTAAGATCTTAAATCTAACCTCTTTGTATGCAAATAAATATAGGATCTTAGGAATACTTCACCTCATTGCCATAGCACATGAGAGTGTGCACAGTGATCAAGGCCTTGAAAACAATAACCCAGGCTTGGCTCTGAGTTCGCTCAATCAGGAGGTTTGCCAGCTGAGGAATCGACACATTTGGCTCATTGGTGCATTGCAGCAGATCTGTAACATAATTAACATAATTAGGATGGCTGAAATTAGACATGAAGATAAACAAACCAGCATAGCAGGTAAAGTATTATGCCAGGGTATACTAGAGTGGCAGTTCAACATGCACCTTAACACACCCAACCTCACAGGTTAATATCAGGTTCACCTCGTGGTACTTATTATTATGGTTACAATGGAAAATTTAGGTTTAAAAAAAACATGATTATTAATTCATATAGTACCACTTAAAAACCCAGAGTCTTTGGATAATTTTACAGAGTTATATACATAACCCTTTGGTGGGAGAGAGGCTCTAATCTTCTCATAGAGGCACACATTGGCCCAGGCTTTGGCTCATGGATAAGTTTTCATGCCTCTGATGATCAGTCTCCACCTGCCAATAATTCTACACATAGCAACATACCTCCTGCCATTCTTGAGAATTAAAACATGAACATTGTACAGATGTTTGTGGTTTTCACACCAAAATTTAATGCTCAATATTTTTTTTGTCACTATTTTATATAAATTTTTTATTGTGATATAAATACTCTTACAATATTTGAAATTTTGCAAATATTCTTGAATGTAACTCAGAAATGGTGACATTTGCTCCTTGCAGAACATCATATTGTCTGCCCACAACAACCAAATTAAGAGTTAATTCAGTAAAACTCTCCGTTAGTACTAATGAATTGCCAAAAAAACTTGAACATTATTAATGTATGTATCTATTTTGGGAAGCCTGGAATCGATGTATTGATAAAATATCGATTCCAGTGTCGGTTGTAAGAATAGATGGAAATTCTCAATATGAGGTACCATATATTAACACATTTACATATTATAACCACTATGAAGAATGCGACGTAACTGCAGTTACAGTCATAAATAAATTTTCTTTAACGCCTGCTTAAAACGCATTGTCTTTCACATCAGGTCCGAAGTTCGAGGTCGATTTCATGCAGCCTGTCATTGTTGTTATATATTAGCACGGTTTTTCTCCTCATACTTATGAAAAAGAAATATGGATACACGTTTCAAAATTAAGAGTGTTATTCAAATACAGTCTACACTGAATCGACACATATTCAAAAAAATTTTCCGCAGTAATTTTAACGTTGCCTACAAATTAGGCATTAAAGGCCTAATACTGAGGCTACATAACACAATAGAAAGATTTGAAAAGTTTGCATATCTAATAGGTTAAAAAATTAAAAATGTGACCCACAAAAAAAAGCTATTATTTAAAGCCTGTCAGAACTAAATGCTTTAAAGAGTACGGTATTTATATATGCTGCACCCATAGTTTTCAGAAGCATTTGCCCCCAGAATTCCAGTTAGGCCAAGCAAAATATTGCAGTAATTTTTATTAAAAATTTTTTGAACAACCAGTAAACATGTCCTCGCATGTGACTGGGTAATTTTAATTGTAAACAAAGTAATGTAAAAATCTTTAATAATTCCTATTGCAGCATATTGACAGTATCTACTTATATTCCAAAACTCAATCAAATCCCTTCAGTAGTATTGAAGGAGTTATGACTAGTTGAGTAGAGTGTGTAGTTAGCTTTTGCGTTCGAGAATGCAGGCAGGTCTGGTGTGATAATTTGGTAAATTAGTGAGTGTGTTGAAAAAAAGTATGCATCAGCACGCCTTGGAAAGAAACCTCTATCGTAAAATCAAGTACCGTAAATAAAATAGATCTGTTCTGTTTTTCAGTTTCTGCATCAGAATCTTGATCCTCTTAAAATTTCCCATTCTAGACAATTCAACAATGTCAACATATACACTGCAACTTTGAAAAATAACAAGTCACATCACTTCATAATACTACCGTCAACCAGGGCTACTCAGGACGATTTTGAACGTTTTTCATTCATAATTTCTTACCATGAAACATTTCATAAACAAGTTTAGGCTCATTTCAAAGCTCTTTGCAAGGGCTATTGCATGGCTTCTCCAAAAAAAATTCATTTGCTATTTGTAAGGTGCCAGAAGCAAAAAAAAAAAAGAGTGTCCCAAGTAGCCCCATAGAACAGGGCTACTTGGGACACTTGGAATAAAACTTAATTTTAAAACATTTGAAGCATGCAGAGTGTACTTATCCATTACTAACAGTACTCTGAAGTCCTCCTCTTTCATTGTAGATGATGTAGAGGTAAAATAAATAACATTTTCTGTGATTTTTACTTGTTTTTCCTTTATTGATATGATATTACCAATTACCATATACATTAATTACCGTATTATTGATGTGATATTACCATATCCATGAACAGGCCAATGAGCATATAAACTACCTTGTCCATATCAGCAGCCTTATTACATTTTTTCTGTATCTGTAAGCTTACAGTATGGCTTGTAATTTCACACCATTTTAATTGGGTTAAGTGAATTTACTATAAAAAAAATAATGAAAAACATACCTGAAACAGAAAGGATGTTTTATTGACAACCATCATATGTTTTGCAGAAATAAATCATAGTTTAGGTCAATTACTTTTCATTTTATGATGCCTGGTGCACAATTCTATACCGTAAAATGGGGTAACTTAGACTCCCGGGGTAACTTAGACTCCCGGGGTAACTTAGACTCCCGGGGTAACTTAGACCACTTTTCCTTTTTTTAACAAAAACCCCCAAAACTCAAAAACTATTTGACATAGAACAATTTTGTCAATGGGCATTAAAGGCCTAATACTGAGGCTACATAACACAATAGAAAGATTTAAAAAGTTTGCNGGGGGTGTCCTGAGTGGCCACGCAGTGCAGAAATGGCCGCCATTTATTCTGGACTGAGATATGTAAATTCCGCAAATAAAGTTTTCATGCTGACACTTGTCTGCCACTGTTTTCTAAGCAAAATTTTTTAATACGGTAAATATTTTTTTACTACAGACCTTAGCAGAAGTAACTTTTCAAAATATCATTTTTCACCATTTTTTTCAGGAATTTTTCAAAGCTAGTAAATGTAGTATTTTTGAACTTCCTTTATACTACATAGATAGGAAAAATGTTTACATTTACGCCACTATACTTAGTTTTGCAATATTCCAATTAGTTCTGTTACTAAAACAGTTTTACGACATGTCGGAGGACTGTCCCAAGTTACCCCACCTGTCCCGAGTAGCCCTGGTTGACAGTATTGGCAGAATTAGCCTATCTCATTCCAAAAAAATGGCAGCCATTTCTGCATGATGGGGTGGGTAATAAGGGACACTCCCCAGGGTGATATGGGACATCCTTAAAAAATGCATTTACAGTAGAACCTCAGCTAGCAAAGGCTCCAGTTAACAAAAAAATTGAATAACAAAGAATTTTCAGCGAAAAAAATTTCACTTAGCGAGAAATTAGTGCATCATCGGACATCACAAAATTGTGCATAGAATGTCATATACAGAATTGTGCACCAGGCATCAGGGAATGAAAATTAATTGACCTAAACTATGATTTATTTCTCCAAAGCATATGATGATTGACACTAAAACATTCCTTTCTGTTTCAGGTATGTTTTTTGCTGTCTTTTTTTATAGTAAATTCACTTAACCCAATTAAAATGGTGTGAAATTACAAGCCATCCTGTGAGCTTAAAGATACAGAAGAAATGCTATAAGGCTGATATGAAGCTTGCAGTGGACAAGGTCGTTATAAATGCTTAATGGCATGTTCATGGATACAGTAATATCACCTCAATAATACGGTAATTAATGAATATGGTAATATCATATCAATAAAGGAAAAACAAGTAAAAATCATAGAAAATGTCATTTATTCTACATCTACATCATTTACAATGAAAGAGGAGGACTTCAAAGTACTGTTAGTAATGGACGAGTACACTCTGCATGCTTCAAACGTTTTAAAATTAAGTTTTATTGCTAGTGTTCTGGATTACCCTGTTCCCAGAGGTAATTCTGGATTTTGCATCTGGCGCCTCACATATATAGCATATGGAATTTTTTTGGAGATGCCATTCAATGGCCCTTGCAAAAAGCTTTAAAATGAGCCCAAACTTGTTTCTGAAATGTTTTATGGTAAGAAGTTATTAACAAAAAAAAGCTCAAAACTGTCCCTTATTACCCTGTTTGATGGTAGTTTGGATTCCATTTTGAAAAAAGGAGGGGGGTGGGAGGTGAAAATCAAGAAATTTGTGAAAAATTTACAAAAAATGCCCCCACACCCGCAAAAATTAGAATTTCAGAAAAAGCTAAGACCAATCAATAGATAGATCAATAAATCTTTATGCATCAAATGATATGCATTTGTTGTTGATGTTGTAGCTTGAAACATTTGATGTTGTAGCTTGAAAATCCTAGGAGATAGTTTTCCATGGTACCCCTTGTTTGGCCATTTTCTTAGAATGTTATGTTTTCTGTCATTTTTTCAAAAATTGACATGAACAAAAAGTCTTAGATTTTTGTTTTACACATGTGTACCAAGTTTCAAAGTGATCTGTCTTTTGATAAGTTTTTCTGGGACCCACACGCTCCTCTTAAGTGAAGACAAATGTTAGTGACTGTTTTTAGGGTAAAATTAGAAATGTGGGGTTACACGTGCATGAAACTTTGTAAATAAGGAGTTTGCGGCACATAAATGGCTTTTCACGGCTCACAGAAATGTAATCACGGCTGGCAAACCCATAAAACCACGACTTGAACAATCTAGTCTCGGCTTGCCAAGTAGATATATCCCATGTCTGGTTCTATAAAAGAAAAAACAGATGGCAATTGGCTATTAAAATGAATTTATCTTGGGTTACTTTCTGGATCAACTCTGACAGAAATAAGAAATTGCAGCTTTTTTCATTAATTTCATTCATCTTTTTAATACTTAATGCTTTTTCCTACTAACAATAATAAGTAATATTATTTAATTATTATTTTTTAACATTTTATAATTCAAAAAATTTCATATATTAAAAAAAATACAAACATGCCTAAAATGAAAAATTTAGCAGAAGAAATGCATAAATTGGAAAAAAATGCCCATGAATCTGGCTAATTTTATACCCTTTTCTAGCCTTTTCCCAGGGTGCAGAAAGTGGGTGATAGGGTGAATATCATGAGATATTTGGCAACACATCAGCAGCAAAATTTATGCCCTCAGAAGATCTTGCTGAAACATTTCAATTGAAATTATTGCATTTCAGATATTCACCAGTCTTTGGACAAGTGACAACTATTTAGAAAATAGTTGAAAATCTGAAAGACCGCAAGCGCACACAGTAAGGTTTCTGGTACGTTGGATGGATCAGAATGCAGTGAAGCTTCTCCAGAAATCAGTAGCGATGAGTGTAAGTGTTGGCTGTGTTGCAGTAATACAGTGCATGGAGACTGGTGACTGAGCAAGGGAATAAAGGGATATACTAATACTATTAAACTTGTTAGCAACATTTTCTGATTAAAAATTACTTGGAAACACCTATTGAAAATGGCTGGCAACATTTTGGGCTGAAAATCCATATCTTGGCAATGGTTGACACTCGACAGCCCAACACAGCTTGCAAAGTCTGCACCCTGGGCCTTTTCCCAATTTCTTCAGTAAATAATGAGAAAAATGGCCCATTTTACTTGCAATTTTTTACAGTGACAGTGTGACAGTACTTGTGACCTGTGATGTGTGTTGTTTTTACCTGAAATTTTAGGGAACTTCTGCTTATATCCAATTCACAGGTAGCTTCTGCCCCAATTTTCCAGTTAGCCTAAGGTTCAACTCGCAAACTATGATCAATTCAATTGATACTTGCCAGTTGACAATGCATATTAAGACTATAAGACATGGTTAATAGAGAAAACCTTGTATATAAATAAATGAATAGCTAAGATTAGCAGATCAGAAATAAAATATACGAATATATTCCAACAGGTATATAACAGAAGGTTGCTTGTTACAGAACACTCACAGTCCAAGTGCTTCTTTTTAGGGCCAATAACTTCTTCTGTAGTAGCTTTGCAGACGGATTTAGCCAATCCCTGTCCAGCGATACTATAACGTGCAGCTGTCAATCGATCATTAATTGACTGTCCTGCCATTCTTGCTCAAAAATCTATTAAAGGACACTGCAGGCCATAAATGAAACGCAAAAAACAGTGGAGCTACACACAACTCCTGCACACAAACCTCTAGTATACTGGTCGAAACTATCAATGATGATTCAGTGCTGCCATATTTGAGTGGCAAAATCCCTAACTTCAGGAAGGGGAGGTGCTTCTTGTTTAGCAAACTTGGTTTTTCAGGTCAAATAAGTTAAAGTAAATTACATAAACACATTTTTTGCCTAAATTTGCCAAATTATGATTCTATGACCTTCATCACCGTATATATAATTAGTACAACGTTTTGGTCAGACTATTTCCATGCAAATTATATAATACCGAGCTGAGGAATCAACTATTTATGATTTTAATGTGGATATTATTGAATGTTTATTGTTATTAAGTAATATTATCGGATATTGTGTGATTGATTATAATCAGTTCTCAGCGTAAACTTTTACCACTCGGACATTTTCGGGGCGAATTTTCGTAGCACGTTTTCCAGACATAGCTTTGTCAACTCAAAACCAATCTTGACTTAATTAAAAAGAAGATATTTATTCAAAATGCGCTCCTGCGTGCGTCATTCGAACGTTTTTGTCGCTCCAATTTTAATTCGCGGGAAGTGCTAAGTCTTAGTACGTTTTCAACGCACAATTTCGTCAAAACGACACTGATCATGACCTAATTAACAGTGAAGCTATTTTTTATATTAACATTACGCTCATGTGAGCATCGAAAAATTCTGTGATTGGTTTTTAATTTGGACGCTGTACAATAAGTTTTGGAGAATAAACCGTGAAAGGTTTGCTGCTATACTACTATACTAAGTTGATGGGCGCCGGCTGTGGCCGCTTGCTGACGTTTGTTGCTGTGCTCCGTTTACTCTCTAATAAGCTCTATACAACTTGCGCCAGTATAAAAATTTTATACCCTCGTGTTAAAAAATACATCGCAAATCTTTAATAAAAGCAAGTTCATTCGACTAAGAGGACTAGGCTTTGAGGATCTTCCGACGTTGAACGCTGTGCCTATAAATCTTAATCTGACTTTGACGACCGTCACAGTTCCGAACCGATCGGCCTTCTTGGTTAGTTTGGCAATCTTTGATTGCTATGCCCTCGTATATGAAAAGATGCCGCGAATCTTCATATGCAAGTTTTTCTGACTAAGAGGATTACGGTTTGACGACCTTATGACGTTGAATGTTGGGCCTTTAAATCTGAATGTGGACGACTGTTACTGTTCCGACACCGATCGGCCATCTTGGTTTCCAATGACCGAACAAACTTTGTTCGGCCATCTTGGCTTGATCGGCCATCTTGGTTT